GGATATTTTCTAGTTTATATTTTATCTTCTTGACTTTCATTCTTGCTCCTTGACCTCGTCCTATATCTATAGGATGTCCTTTCTATACACCAAGAGTCCACCCTTTGACCATTAGCAACTTATCTAAGGTAATACCTTTTACTATGTAATTTATTCTACTTTTGCTTACTTATTTCAACACTCCCTCTAGTTAAGGGGCTTTCAATTTTAAAGCCTTTTTCAACATGTGATGTCTATCTTTTACTAATGTCTTTGTCAACAAATCAGCAAGCATGTCTTTTGTTGCACAATACTTCATATCAATTACTCACATTTCAATCTTCTCTCATATAAAGTGATATTGAATGTTAATGTGTTTGGTCCTTGAATGATGCTTTGGATTCTTTGCAAAAGCAAGATATCCTTGATTGTAACACTTCATTGGAGTTGCTTCCATTTATACTACTCCAAAATCATCCAAAAGTTGTCTTAGCCATATTGCCTCCATTGCACTATGGCTTACTGCCATGTGCTCGACCTCCATTATTGATTTTACAATTGTTGGTTGTCTTTTGCGATTCCATAAAATTGCTCCCACTCCAACAAAGAATATATATCTCATTTTTTACCTTCTATCATTTGCATCTCTAGCCCAATCCGCATCACAATTACTATGCATAGTAATGTTATCACTTCCAAGACATAATTTGAAGTTCAAAGTACCTTTTAAGTACTTCATGATCCTTTTGATGGTTTTTCAATGGATTGGTCTAGCCTTTGACATGTGTTGGCTTACAACACTCACCATATATGTAAGATCTATCTTTGTGCCAACCATTACATATATTAGTGAGTCTATTGTTGCCTTGTATAGAATACCTTGTAATATTCCTTCAACTTCAAATTAGCTTCTAAAGGTGTTCTAATAGGCTTACACTCCTTCATGTTGAATTATTTCAACATCTCTTCAATGTACTTCCTTTGATTCATTGTAATGGTCTTTTTAGTACAATTTCTCACAAATTCCACTCCTAAACAACATTGATGTTATGTGGCGATGTTCTATAGGACCTCTAATATCCTTCTAATCATATCAAAATTAATTGATAAATGCTTTGTCATTCCAATCCATGTCATAAGCAAGGTTTTAAAATTTAATAGCATATATCATGGCTGATTGTAATCTTTATCATAAAGATAAGAGTTTAGTCTCTATTACTTGTTCTTGATCACTTTCTTTAAATGTGATCATCAACACTTTTAAGAATGTATTTAAATCATAAAAAAGTGATAAGTCGTTTTCTATCAAAGGTGCAAACCAACAAAAGCACTTCGAAATAAAAATAAACCTATAAAACCAACTTAAGTAAATCCATTTGCATATTGAAAAGGGTATAATCTTAAATAGAGCTTAACTTATTGTTAAAATCCTTAAAGTTTTGATCTTGTTCCATCAAACTTCTCAGACATACTAATTCTTACCTCTCTTGAGCTTGTAAAAGTAAAACTCCCTAAATTTGGTTGTGAGCTGATCGACTTGTTTCTCTCAACTGCACAACTTCTTGACATAGACTCTAGACTTTTTTCATAGGTATAGAAGTAGTACTACGAAGATTAACATTAGTGATGTATGAAATTTCTGCCGTAAGAGTATTGACAAGCTCGTGAAGATCCATAATAGTTGCAAATCTATTTTGATTTCTGCTAGGAGTAGCATCTATAATCTTTCCTTCCATAGAAAATTCAAAAAAATCTAAAAATTTAAATTAGAAGAGAGTAATCTGCAACCTCTAATAAAAATTTCTACAAAGAAGAATAATCCACTCTCTTTAAGGAAAAGATTAGTCTTAAAAAATAAGATTTTTTTGTATAAAGATAGATAGTCTGCAATCTTCAAAATTCAACAATAGAAGTGGAGTAATCTACTCAATTCTAAAATAAGATAAAAACAGTATGTTAATACTCTTGTCAAACTATTAGAGATATGAATCTTGAAAAAAGAAAATCTTCAATACACTCTTGAATCTCTAAAGAGAACTAAAGAGTCAATCAAAAGGTGACGTAATATTAAACTAGAATGACTATTGCCAAAAATAAAAAGACTAAAAAGTCTTGAAATAAGACTAAAGACTAGAAAGACATTCACAAGAGTAAAGAAGGCTTCACTCTTGCTTCCATATATACCCTTAACTAGGATTTATATGACAATGTCCTATAGGACCTCCAAAATATGTTGACTTTGCTAAATAAATCCTAAATAAATCCTTATCAAATCCTAAATAAATCCTTATCAAATCCTAAACAAATCCTAACCAAATCCTAATTAAATCCTAACCAAATCCTAAAAAAATCCTAAACAAATCCTAATTGAACCCTAAACATACTCTAATCAAATCCTAAATAAATCCTATAAATTCCTATATTAGATTTAAACCTCAATAATTAATGAATGCACCATTGATTTTAACTCAAATTTTGTACACCTCTTGAAAATTAAGTTGAAAAAAAGCACAAATTTTTTTAAAAAAATCGAACTCACCAACAAGAAGATCAACCCTAATATTTGCTTGGATATTGGCCGGCGTCTTTCTCCAATCTAAATGTTGAATTTCCAATACCAATATCTCCTTATCAAATTATTCAATTGATTTAAAATTTCTTATATATGTAAGAAAACAAGTCTAATATCCACACATATAATTTTTACTTCAATCCAATTGATAAATTGTAAGAAATCTTAAAAACCCTCATTGGATCTAAAATTCTACTTTCTAAGACCCTGACCCACTTAAACCTTAATAACCCTCGATCCAACTCTTCGATCAAGCTCAAACTCACAAAATATATTGAGCACATATACATCCACAAATCCTCAAAATTTCATTTGTAGATCTATTGCCAAACTTACAAAATTCTCCAAAGAATATCACTTACTTTATTTCACAAATCTAGAATTATCCAAAACAAATCCTAACTTTGCAAAGCTCTTACAAAGTCAATACAAATCCAAATCACTCAAATCCAATGCTTAAAAAAAATCTATCAAATTTTCTCTTAGATTCTTCTCTTTGATTTCCAAAAGAACCCCCAAATCGTTGTCAAAGCTCAGTTTTGTGCTTCAAGATCTGATTTCGACTCTTGTTCATAACCGGCCCTTTCTAAGTATCAATATCTAGTTTTTCTAGATAATTTTTATTAGAATTTACTCCTAACTTCCTCCTAAAGATGCCTATATCATTTATTTTTCCAATCTACTTTGTTTTGCTTTATTTATGGCCCTACAAAGTAAGTAGAAGTAACTTTTTTAAAAAGGCAGCATTACTACTAAAAGCCTTTGGGTAATATCTAACAATTGTAGATACTATTGTTTGAGTAAAAAAATATTGCTTAAACTATTCAATTTGTAAATGTACACATTATATTGTTGCCAATATCCCAAGTCTTTCTCAATCTCTCAAAATTAGCTCCATTCCCATATGATCCAAGGTACTCCAATACTACATCCAATTGCCAAATAATTTTGCTTTATGGACAATGGCTCCCATTCTTGAAAATAGAGTGGTCTTTGATGGCTAAAAGCACTATCCAAAAGCCCTCTCTTAACGTTCTTGTGGTTTGTCTAAACTGGGCATCAAGCTCAGAAATAAAATAATTCATAACTCAATTGATCAATTTAGGTACGATGTTGAACATATATTGGGTGATTTTGAAGTATCAAGTGATATTTCAAAATACTTAAGTGATACTTGAGATATCATCACAGGTGAAGTATCACCCAAAATCCTCAAGTTTGAATCCCCTTAATGTTTCATGTGGATGGGTGGGGTATGACTTGTTGGAGGACATCAATCTTCCCAAACGGGTCAAGAGAGTGTGATTTCCAATCCTAAGATACAATGGTGCCTTCGTCACTCTATCAATGGAGAGGCTCTTCTGGCTCTGGCTATGGCTTCACACTGTAGCACCAGGCAAAGCTTGCTTGCTTGTCCATGTGCCGAATCGTCCCTACAGCTCTGCCTCGACCACTTGTGCTGATGCATTGGAGGTCAACATTGCAAGTTGGCTTCGCAATTGTAGAGTTCCTTAGGTGGCAATTGAGCGTACTGTTGTAGTACAATTTTTGCGACGATTTCTCATGCCAGGTTTTCAGCATTTCTCATGCGGGGTATTGATTATCGAGAATTTATTTCGGAGCGCTCATCTTTGTCCTAGGTGACAATTTGTGAGCCTGTAATGCATTTTGGCCAATGTAGTAGACAGCTGCTGGAATTTTCGCCTTTCATACTGTCCTCACCACTTCCTTCCCTCCCCCATAGTCTTTTGCATTTACACAAATTCTTGTCGGTCTGTAGCAATAAAAGGGTCCAATGCGCTCCGAGGGTTTATATGATTAGTTGTTCATGTGAATTGGAATCAAATTCTGCCGTTGGCAGAATCACTATGTCTATGCGCTTGTTAATTAGCTTACATAATAACACTCTCCAGCAGCGCTAACCTCGGCCAACTTGAATAACCAAGCGCTCCTCTCTCGCATCACAAATTAGAACTGCACCTCTCGCATCACCCATCAACTCTCACCAAAGTATCATCAACCCTCTCAGTACCCAAAACACAGAACTAAGCGTACCTGCACATAACAACGGCGACGGAATCAATCCCGATCCAAGAACTTCACATGACAATTATCTCTTCAGTCGCAAAACTTCAGCCATGAGGCGGGAGACGAGCAAACGTATGCAGCCACGAGGCGGAGGAGAGCGAGGAAATCGAGCTAACGATAAACGTCAGACGAGCAGAAATTCAGCCATGAGGCAGAATCAGAGTGCATAAGTTAGAGCTTTTATAATGAATTGTGGTCCATTGCAGGGGTCCACCGAAGGTCTTTATTGGAAATTCTGCCCGAGGATCCATCCAGGGGGGCTGCCCACTTCGGGAAGACTGGCTTGAGCGTTCATCCAGCGCTGGATGAACTCTTCCGCCATGGTGGGTCCTAATTCTCCACAAAGGTCAAGTTTAGGGCTAAAATCCTGCGTGTCCAGCTCGAGAATAGGAAAGCTTTGATGTGCACACGAAGTGGTGGAAATAGTGTAGAAGTTCGTATCGTGGGTTTTGCTCGAAGTAATCCACTGCTTTGCTGTTCGTGCAAGTACTATTTCGTTTTCGAGTTCTCCGTGTGGCGTTATAGGGAAGGAAACATGTCTGAGGCTCTGAATGCATTGAAAGACTTCGTCCGTCAGCCAACTGGACAGAACCAGGCTGATGATACGGTTGTTCTTCATGTGACGCACTCCAATCTCAAGCAACGTTTTATTGAGATTCGCGTTGATCTCCATGTAATAATCTTCACTCTTGCTCCTCCTCACTTGGAAATACTGTAATTGTGATTCAGGTGAATTAAAGCTGTCTTCTTTATTTTGTAGCAGTTTATTTGCTGAGTTCCTTCATGTGTTGAGTTTCTATCGTTTACGGAGCTGTTTCAAATTCAGCGCCGCTATAGAATCTTCCCCCATTGCAACGTTGAGAGTTGAGTTCTTTCATTCCTAATCGTGATCATTTTGTTGCAGACTACAATCGAGAGATTGAAAGAAAGGCTACGTGATCGATCCGGTACAGCTGTGGAGTCTATGCGCTTGCAGCTTTATGATGAGGACAACAATAAAATCTGTGATTTGCTTGAGGATTTTCGCCCATTAGGTTACTACTCTCCTTTCGATGGGTATGCTGACCTCACTCTCTCCCACAAAATTTCTGATTACTGCTAGAGTTTGACATTTAGGAGCAGATTAGCTGGGGACAAGCAACAGGCTGGATGCAGCCGTTTGAGAAACTCAAGTTCCTTATGTAACACTGTTGTGCTTGGTGACTGTATCATTTGATTTTGCAGGTATCGCATACACATTACCGATATAAACCCCACATCTTTATCAGCAGGCGGGTGGTTGGAGGACACTTCTTTGGTGGAAAAATATAATATATCAGAAGATGCATATAATAAGCGTGAAGGTTAGTTCAGAATTTATGTTTATGGGAAGTGCCGGGTCTTTTATATAACATTCGCATTTGTCGCTCTTGAGAGAATAAATACATATAGAAGTGCTTGTGGAGGGTTCTTTTCGTAGATGCAGCGGGACTCAATGTTCAGCTTTTCATATCGATTTCAAACTTGCTGTGTAAGACAGTAGGGATATGGTCACTAATTCTTTTTCTGCTTCTTTCGCAGATACTTACAGGAAATACCGTGAAAGGAAACTTGCGGAGGATCCAACATGGACTTTCGCCAAAGTGAAGAGTCTTCCTACCTTCTCATGTCATGATTTGTCTTTCTCGTTTCGACTGCTTGTCCTTGTTTATTTTTGTCAAAAAGAAAATCATGCAAATTGCAAATTCAAAGAAGCTTTTGTTAGTGTGTATTGAAAATGCTGAAACATTGAGCTAGTCGGCAAGTCAGAGGTTGGGAAGTGTATGAATACGTATTTTATAAGGTTTTGTGCGATCTGCTTGTGTAATACAAATGGTCGCACAGTCTCATTGTGCTGAGCAGGCAGTTTTTTTATTGATACAGGAGATTGCTATGCGCAAGGGCGAAACTTATGTACCACCTCAACAGGTTATTGATCTTGTTACAGCGATTTATCGCTTTTTCTCTCTTAACAGTATTGGATGCTTTTCATTAATGGCGCTGCTCATGGTTTCTTTTGCTTGGGAAGGTTTCGCCAGTGCCTCCTGTCTTGACGGGAGGGTAGTCCTGCCAAGTGGTGGGAAACAGTTTACAGACCCCATCGAGGCACTTGCTCTTGAAAAATTTGGGTTTTGCTCAGGGATGCTGAGGGTTCCTAATATCACATGAAACAACTCTAATGCTGTTTTGTTGGCTTCTGATTGTTTATTGCAGGTTACAGATGATTATATGGGTGATATTGCTGCAAATATTAAGGTGAGTCATTGTCCTTATGTCGCTATGTAGAGAACTTTCTTGTATGGTTTACCTAGATTTGACATTCATGATGCAGCTATGAGTACATATGAGATATTTGAAAAATGGCTTCTTTTCGTGTTTATATGGTTTCGTATGCTTGTGTTCGGTTGGATTGTCTCTGTTTTAAATCTCCACCGACTAATTTTCTGAGAGGGTATTTTCATGTGGTAAGGGAGCTGGTTTTTGTGAAAGAGGTTCAAGTTCTGAGGTGTAGGGATTTTCTCGACATTTATTTCTCGACATTGATTCCAATGCTGTTATATTATAGGTTGGTGATCGTTGTGAGGTTGACCCGGGCGGCAAGCGAGGGGAGGTAAAATTCGTGGGGAAAGTTGAAGTGCTTGCTGCTGGCTACTGGGTTGGAGTACAGTATGATGAACCCGTCGGCAAGCATGATGGCGTGTATGTCTGACTTATTCACTTTCTTACATGATTCCGTTAGCAACGTTTTTTTGAATTATGTCTCTCAGAATGGATAGAGATATGCATGCACATCAGCAACTCTTCAACGGAATAAACTAATTATTTCAAAAAATTGTTGGGATGTGTGCAGAGTAAAGGGCAAGCGTTACTTCACATGCCCACCAGGCCATGGCTCCATTCTACGACCTGACAAGCTTAAGGTAAGTGAAGGTTTACTTCCCTGGTGACATAATGAGAGTAACGTGCTGTATCTGCTTAGAAAAATGACCCCGGTTGTCAGTTAGTAGTGTTTATAAATCGAGTTAGAAAGGAATGGACCAGATATTCATTGTTATATATCAATGTTAGTACAATGATGATTATGGTAAAATTTCCCTGTATTTTTTGTGCTAATTCATCAGCTGTTTTGCAGGTTGGAGACTTTCCAGAGCGTGATCCTTTTGATGACGAGTTCGAAGAAATCTAATGTTTGCAATATAGGATATCTTTACCTTTCCAAGTGCTGGAAGTTCAGTTTGATTTCTTTCCACTTGTTTTTTCGTGTGGCAATTTTTCCTTTTTTCTTTTTTCTTTTTATCCTGTCTCAGCAAGTTCTTAATTTTGTTTATCCTGCACTTTTGTAATTCATTTCTTTTAGTGGGACAGAAACGTAGATTAATTTAGAAAAAGTGTCTGGTAATTTGGATTTGTTCACTCACACCTTTGATCTTAGCAAATCGCCAGCCAGTTAAGAATAGATTCGAAAGTGAGTGGTACAGATAATCTGAAGGTAATTCACCTATTAAAGATGCATTATATAAGCCCAGCACATGATTAACTACTATAAGTGCTTTCTTCTGTGTACTCAGAAATTATGACAATTTTCTGAGGTGCATTTAAGTCTCCACAAGAGATTACAATGTTTTAGGATCTCACATACCCGAATAAACTTTAGTTAAATATAACTAGCTGTTTATTGGGTTGTGCTCTCTTGCTTGATACTTGCAACTTAAAATATCCAAAGAATAATTATGTTATTATGTGTTGGAATAGAATAAATACAGCATTCGTCAATTTTAGTGCATATATGCAGTAATAAACGTAAAGAGTCTCTAGTAGTCTTGGTTGAGTGCTACATAAGAATGTGTTTTTTGAGTTTTATACCAACTTTTACATGTGCAATTAGATAATTGTGAGAAGGTAAGGCAATGGATCTTATTGAAATACATCATTATATTTGATGTGGGAATTTCTTCAATCTTTTAAAAGTTATATAATTGTGGCTAGATCTCTTTTTATCTAGGGTTTAATGTGAGGTTCACCACAAATAATTTTATGTCCTTATAACTTGGTTTGATGATTGTGTGAATTGGAAAAGTCTTTAAGGTTTAACCGAAAGAAATATATAAATGAGGAATGATTTATATTATACTCTTGGACAATTTGGATGTTTAGTGATTCAACATGGATTGTGTGTGGTGAATCAATGATATGATTAAAAATATTTAAACAGTACTTAAAAATCTGAGTACATTTTAATAGAAAATGAAGTTATATACTTTTTAATATTGAGTAAATAACATATTGTAATAATATAAACTTTGTAGAATGATGTTTAGATTCTTGAAATAAATAGATTAAAATTGAAATTTCAAATAACCGCAACCATCATAAATAAATTGTACTTTATAATAGTATATAGTAAAAATAACAATTGCAGAGATTTAAAATCAACATAAATATTCTAAAAATAGTATGTGCTAGAAAAGAATCAAAAAAACATTCTTAAAGATGTTAAGAAAAGATTCTAGTTCACCAAGAGTGGTAATAATTTTACATATAATGATAGTATGTTTATTTTTAAATTGTTAAATTTTATAATTTGATAAATTTTTATTTACTTGTAAATTTAAAAATACAAAGTTATTATTAGATATTTAAGTTTGAATGATTATTGTTTTGGACATTAATAGATATATTTGTCTATCTTTTTGAAACTAAATTTTATTTATTTATTAACTTATCATTATAAAAAAAAATAAAGATCCTATTAACATTTGCTCAATAAAAATTATAATATTAAAGAAGTTGTACCAATAATACAAATAGAAATTATATCAAGTATAATATGGCTTTAGAAAATTATAAAATATTTTGAAATATTAATAAGTGGTTTTCACTTTATAATATGTACTTTGTAATATGCAATATTGTAAGAAGAAAGAATAAAAGAAGAAAAAGAAAACAATCATAAAATATTTTTAATTTTGATTTTTAAATATTTTTGTTATACTTCTAAATTTTTTTGCAAAATACTTAAGAAGTTGAAAAAATATTTAATAATGTTTTATTCTTATTTTAAAAGAACTCTATATATTTTAAAGCCAACATAGGGGCCAAAATTATAACATAATGTATAAAGATTAAGTTAATAATAAATGATCTTTTTAAGGGGATATTGAATTGTTACTACTATACCAAAAGTAATTAGTGGAAAAGGAATAGAAACAATACAATTATTATAAATAGAAATAATAAGGTAGTCAGGGTACAAAGTAGGATAAAAATCTGAAATGAGGCTACATATGTTAAGACCTTAGAAAAAAGTAAATTTATTTTATTATTTTTAAATAATTTATTGAATAGTATAAAAAACATATAATCGTACAAACATTATACAACAAGAATATTAATTAGGATTTTAATTAGACTCTTTGCTTGTACATGAATGGCATAAATTTTATTGGCTATGAATGACAATTGCTAAGTATTGGTAGTAGAATTTGAAAAAATATTATAAATTGAAACAGTTTTTTTGAAACAAATTCAAGTGATTGCATAAAAACAATAAATCTACACCTCATTAAATAGTGTTTTATTTTAAAAAATTATATAATCGAGTTTTTTTTAAGTTAAATATTTAATCACATTACTAACACTAATTTGAAATTTTTATTTTTTAATTCAAGTTTTTATGGTTATCTTATTAAAGTACAGCAAAGTTTATTTCTTCTTTTTTTTTACTTTTTTTTTACTTTACTTTTTTTTTTTTTTTTTTTTGAATGAAGTAACCTTTGCATTACATTAGTATGATTTTTTTAAAACATCAATTACTGTATTTTGTAACTAGAAATAAATACCATTTTTATTTATGGAGTTTTAGTATTTTTTAATACTGTTTTACTCTCATTTTTCAAGTCAATCAAGGGGAATTATGTTTATTAATGAAAGACACATCTAATACTAGGTAGTAACATCTTGTCTAACACTAAAGAACATAAAACCAAAGTTATGTGCATAAAAAGCACATTAAAAAGCATATACATACATATATCTATATATAAAAATAAAAAAAAATTGTTCTAAAAAGTACAATTTAATCTACTTTGTAAAAATTGAATCATGGCTACATATAGATTTTTATTTGAAAAAAATGAATATTTGTGGTTTATGTTGATATTACATGTAATTTTTATACAATACTTGGCATGCCAATACTTTAGTCCAAAACACAAAGCCTTTCAGAATCACTTCTTTGCAACACACTTGAAAGTATTACAAAACCAAAAATCATCATTAGCAAGACAATATATTACACTCATATAGGGGAAATAAATAAATAAGTAAATAAATAAATCTACATGAAGAGTTCAATTTATAGACAATACACATTTCATTTGTTTTCATTACCTTTCAAAGTGTTTAAAGATTTTAACACTGTACCATCAAACTCGTACACTCTGCAATCAAAATCTTTCCTGACTTGAGAAAGAATTAACGTCAGAACTCAACATCAGTGGGTTCTAACACATCAAAAAGACTTGAATCACGCAGTCAGTCTTACAGGAGAAGTCCAAAATATAAGACCTCAGTGGACAATTCTTGAGCTTCCTCCTTGACGAAGAGTGTAGTCTCCATGGCTGTTCTAATGCTGAAACATCTTTAAGCTTTACGGTCTCAAGCCTAGGTTGGAAAGAAGTTAAAACGATACTGAGTAAAAAAGCCCAATTTCTTTCATTACAAATAGCCGACGGCAGTTCCGTAAAATCCTGCAGAGGCTTCCCACAGCATATAATTTATTTCACGAAAGTGTCTTCTGCAACTGTATGAATGAGAACCAATACAAGAAATAGAGCACACCTCCACATGACAAGAACCTTCTTTAATATCAGTTACTGGCGACTACAAATTTTGGTCCCTTGAAGAAGCATGCATACCACTTCTATCTTAAAAACGAGATCAACCAGCAAAATCTGCTATACTTGGTCAATCATACGCCAAATGAGTGAATAAGATTATATTAAAAAATTAAAAATTAAAAATAACGAGAGAGAAAGAGAGAGATCAGCAATGTTACATTTTACTCCAACCAATCAGTTAAAGCCTATATGTGTGTGTGTGTGTATATATATTTATCTGTGCAATCTTATAAAATGAATGTCATCAGCAGTAACTATTCAATTAACCTTCCAACAAATGATGTAGGCTTTTCATAATATTGAGAAGCACGCACCATGTTGGACACGTTTATGTCCCATATTCTTGGGGGCGCCCTTGGGTAGCAATGGCCAAGGCATGGAGCAGTCTCGTCAGAACATTGGGTTGCGGCTTCTATTCAGTTGTTGGGTGCACAGAACTGGGCTTCTCGAACCCACTCGGCACATAATCCACTGGATGGAAATTGAACCGTCATCAAAGAAGCTCCTCACAAAGACGTTGTAGAAAACGTTGCCCGAGGGAAGCCACATGAGCAACCCTTACTGATTGCGGATTATGTGCATTGAGCGCTGGTTGCTGAAGAAGAGATATCAATGCAGAATGACGCTCGTGATCACCACTCTTTGCGTGCATGTGCACTAGAAGCTCCAGCAATGGAACCTCCCATACACAATCAAAGTATGCTACTGCATCACGGACCACTATCAATGAATTTTCTTGCAAAATTCGAAACGCGTACTCATGGTCAGGATCTTCTAATTTTTGGCATAAAAGAGCTGCCTGAACAGTCGCACCTATCATTCGGCAACATTGCACCATCCTTCGCAACACACTCTGGGTAAATACTTCCTTAGTCATTGCTGAGGATCGATCACAATAATAAGCACTCTTAATAGCTCCGGCTTGAAGGTAGAGTTGAAGAGCTTTCACATAAGCTTCTTCTTCAAACGCAAGATCAGCCAGACCTTGCAACCACCGATGCCCTTTCTCCTTATCTTTATCTACAACCCCTGGAAGCTCAACAATTCTTTCTAACAGCGCACCAAAAAGGTTCCTGCCAAATTCAGGAGCTACTCTAGAAGAAAAGGTGGAGAACGACCCAGCACCATGAGGGAGTGATCCGAGAGGAGGAAAAGTAGTCCCACAGGTAATTGCTGCTAACGCTTCGTATCTTTCAACCACAATAGTAACAGACGTGAGTTTCTCTGCGTTACACCTGTGCAGCCAGCCAGCCATCAAACTTGCAAGATTCATCAGCACACGCGGGTTGGTGAGCTGAGATATAAGAGGAACAACTCGAATACTGGGGTTTAATAACAGTAGGGCTACTTTTCGATTCTGTGCTCCCCATGATTGGTTTCCATTCTCCATCCCTGATGAGGATCCTTCAACATCACCGCCGACCAACAAACATAAAAAATCTTCAAAAAGTTGGGACGTTTTCAAACTCATACGAACCACATCTTCCGTATAGTGGTTGTGTGCAGTACTTGACAGCAGGGCAGAACAAAGCCGCATAAGCTCTGCCAACACAGTTACCACTTTCAAAATCTGAGCGCACCTTCTGTGCCAGATGTCCTGTCCTTTGTGAGATCCTTCAGCACGAGTACCAATTCCAGTGCTCCTTCCTTTTTTTACAATAGAGAGCCCCCATTCACAAAGCTCAGATAAATCCTTCCAAAGTTCTCTCTCGATCAAACTAAGAAGTATGTACTCAATTGCACCCAAATCAAGTGAAATCCCCTGGTCGAAATCTTCAACCCCTGGTAGGCACAAAAGAGCTCCCTCTTTCAAGCTCACCCTATCCAACAGCCACAACATCATCATACTATCATGATCTCTGGTATGTATCGTTATAGCCATTTCGTACAACTTCCTCGCAACCAAAAATTGTTTTGTGGTGTCCAAAGCATTGAAAGCACGCCTACGCAAAACAGCAGAAACGTCCAATGCAAGTGAAGCCTTAATGTCAGCCTTGTGATTGCCAGTTTTTACATGCTCTACTTCAGAATGTGCCCTAGAACAATCAGAACTATTCTTTGCACTTAGAGCCGCATTCAGCCTGTGGACGGTTGTAACAAGCCTTTCGATATCCCAAACATTCTCAGCAGTTAGAAGTTCACACAACAAAACTTCCAATTTAAGATCATTCTCTGAGGATGATGGGACTGCCGGAGAAGCTGCGGTGTTCGCAGGAACATTGCCACTTGACAGTCTGCTCTGGAAATGGCCTCCCAGAAATCGCTCAGAGTCCGCGGCACGAACGGCCGTTCTGGTGAAAGATATTGCCGCCGACTGCACTGCATCGACCCAGAGTTCCTGTGGGATATGTTCACGTCTCACCACATAATGTTCTGAGACGAAGAGTTTTGGAACCATTGTAGAACTAATGAGGTTGGTCCTTAGAGCAGCTTCCCAACACCAATGTTTATCCAAAACGCAACACACGTATAGGGCAAATTCGGAGATAAATGCACTAGAATTGCTACTATTCATGGTACATCCCACGTCCGTTGCTGTTCTTTCAAAACCTTGTCTTATGTTCATCCGCTCGATTGCTGGAGGCTTAAGTAAAGTACCATTCTTGGATACTGTGGTCAATTCGTCGAAGCTTTTCTTTACTGCCGCCATCTGAGACATCAAAAAATTAACGGCTTCTTCATTGTCACGAAACACGCGACTAGATTGCAGAAAGGACTGCATGGGAGCTCCCTCAACAATGTCTCTGATGACGTTACATGCTACAAGCTGCCAGTGTATCGACACTGGAATGCCTGGATCCCTTGCCAAGGAGATACGATATCCCTTCGTCAAGTGACCTTCGAGGGTATCACCAACTACGTTGCGAATCAGTCGAATGCCATCTCGTTCTTTCCCTACACTTGAGACTTCATCTCCAACTTTGAAATCCATGATACTACGAACCTTTTTCTTGGGAAGTGTTCTGATACCGTTAGCAGGTCGCGAATCCTCAACTCCAACAACAACCTCTCTTACAAGAGCTTGCGTCTCGACGTCAGTGGTATCGCGCTCAATCTTCTTGCTTTCGCATTCTTCGCTTATTGATTCTGGTGCAATATCTTCGCGAATTTGAACTCCAGAAGTCATCAGATCATCATTCTTCGATCTATCATTCGCGGCGTTGACTTCTTGAGATTCTAGACTAGTCCATGTTTCCATATCAGGAGAGCGAAATGACTTTAGTTTCTTGAAAGGCGGCTGAGTTACTAAGTCGTCATCCTCTGGCTTTGTTCGAACGAGCGGCTTATCTGCCTCAGAATTTTGCTTTAAATTATACCTGCTTCTTTCGCAGGCAATGACCATCTTTTGAGCGGCAGATGGCTCGCCTAGTGAAAGTAGGGGAGAAGATTTAAGTGCAATCTCATTTAGGTCTCTCTCCCTTCCTTCGCTGACATTGGATTTCGGGTGTAACCTCAGAAGCATCCGACAGGCGACTATAAAACCTGCAAGTCTTTGCATTGGCACTGATGATACAGAACGGTGACTCTCTGCATTATTCGATCTTTCTAGGTGTGGGTTGTCTGCACCGACTGAGCTCCTATCAGCCTCGCTGATACGCTGGTTCAACTCGGCACATCTTGTAAACAGCCCATGAGCAACATGAATTCGTCCTCTCATAAAGTGTACCTCGGCAACGTCTAGCATGATTCGGCACCAATACCCTGTGCTCAAAAAGGTATTTAAAGCTGCCTCAGGATTGACACCATTGGGTCGATCCCCTCCATCCTGTACAATCATACTCGTCAATTTGCACGCAGATGCTGGCCCCTTCGAGCAAACCCCATCCCTGTGCGACAGGACATTCTCGAGAAACTCTATTGCGAGCTTTTCCTCCTCCAATGTATCCTTAGCAGCACCATTGCAGAGATTCCGAGAAATGGATACAGACCAGCATCCACTATCTGGAGTATCTATGGTATTAGCGACATCTTCGCCCAATGTCCAATAATGGTGCCGAGGCCCAGAAAGAGTAGCGTTCGGAGCAGCTGATCCTAACGGATGTGATTGCAAAGCATTACGCAGCATCCATCGGTTAAGGTCACATTCATGAATCAGTAAACGAGGTTTGTCGTGCTTCACGAGGGCTTTAAGAAGCATGAACTGATGTTGAGGGGAGCTGATGGAGGCCTCAATTTCCTCAAGCGTCAGATTTGCTGACACTGCAACTCTGGCTGCGCGCTCACATAGCAATGCTGCTGTCTTCGTCACAGTCGTCCACGCATCAGATACGGGCAACACATCCTTAGCACTCGTAGGCAATGTATGCCCTAGCGAAGCTTTCTGACTCAGAAGGGCCTGCTCCAAAAACACGGTAATAAGCTCGGCTGGAGTGGGAATTGACACATTGCCCCCTGCAAGAGTCGCAAGGTGCTCCTCCAGCTTCTCCGGCAGCAGCAGATAGTCTATCCATAACGACGTAGCGGCGCCCGTGTCCCCACGCGGCCCTCGATCCTTGTCGCGCTCCCCCGCCATCATCACCACCTGCCAATAAGCCCTATAATACCACCTCTTCCATCATTTCATCCATGCTGAATACAACAGTGGCCCTAGCTGCAGCACACCACTTCAAACTTCAACAACTGATACCAAACGCTAACCTCGAATATTGAGTTAAATCAATCTCATCAAGCAATAGCTATTACATTCAAAACATGCAGATCTCACGCAAACCTAAACCCGGTTGCGATTCCGAGAGGAAATTGGCAGACAATGTTGCTCTCACATTGCAACAAAATACACCGACGCTGATGAATCGGACACAGTGCAAGGATATTCGAAGGTACCGTTAGGCTTGCTGAAATGTCAGAACATGCTTGCCAATAGCAATGAGCGACTGCTTGACATGAACAATCACATTGTTAATCACAATACTCTCCGATTCCCATAGTAAAATCACATGATTCCTCTGAAGTGGGAGTTTTATCACAATCCATGTGCGGCGGGGAGTGTGCAACCAGAAAATTCCCAACAAGCAAATTCTTCCTCCTCTCACCGAAAGACTCAGAAAACCCTAACTACAGGGCTCCTCGTGCACACATCAAAAATTCCCTACCGCCTATTTCCTACCAGAAAATCCGACATATGGGTACGTAAATTCCTGGTCACTACACTTCCCCCATGCAGCCAATTTCAAGAAATTTCACCAAACGCGGCGAGAATTCACAACTTGCAACCACCGAGACGCCAGACGAGGGCGGTGTTACGAGAGTTCGGGTCGATTACAGGAGCAAGAGGAAGCAAACTACCTCGAAGCCCAAGCAAGAAAAGGCCTCCGCTGCCGCAGTGTGAAACCGACTATATTTGTCCAAAAGGGGGAAAGATATTTATAGGATTCCCTAATACCTTCGAAAATCCTATTCGACCCTTTTCACACTTTGCGGGACTTTGCAACATTGGTGTTTACATGATGATAATGAAGGACATGTTGAGCCTGGGTGTCAAAAAAACAAAACAAAGAACAACTCATTGGTCAAATCATAGTAATATTCTAATTTTGGTTTATTAGAATGTGAAATAGGTAGAATCCAAATGAAGATTAAGATAGGTGTTTATTAGATTTTAAAGTGTAAGATTAAGTAAGATGCACAATGTTTCTATTTAGCCAACAACATGTGTTCTTACTTATTGGTCAAAGTTGGGTTTAAATTTATTTTTTAATTATAGTGTTAATTTGTATTTAGAAGAAAATTTGAGCTTTAATTTACTTTGAGCTTGTAACAAACAGCTTTTAATTAAAAATTAAAAGTTATTTGTAAAACAATAAGATTAATTTTTACATGCAATAAATACTTCAAAATATCACATCAAGTAATTCAATAGAAAATAAAGTTACAAGATAAAAAAATCCTATCTATAAAAATTATATATGTGTATGTACAATATAAATTATTACTTATTAATAGTATCAAAAAAAATTATACATTTTTTAAAGCATTTGCATATCTATTTTTATTTCCAAAAACTTTACATCTATGTAATATTATATAGATTAATAGAATATTTTATAATTCAAAAAAGATTATAATAATCTTCTATTTTTATTTAAGAGTTTTCATGGTTTTTCTAAGAGTTTCTATTAAAGATTCTTTAAATTTTTGCAATATTTTTCAATTCTTAGAACCATTTTAGAAGCTTTTATAAAACTTAGTTTCTATACTGTAAGTAATAAGAAAAAAATATTTTATTCTTGCCAACTCAAGTTTTGAAGCAATCCAAATGTTGTCTTGTTTTTAAACATGTTTTTAATCATGAATTTAGTCTTTTTTAATATTTTTGATATTTTATTTTTAGCAAAAAATTGTCATAATAGAATGAAGAAGATTAAAGTATGTTTGATTTTTATAAAAACTATGATATCATTATTAAGTTTAAAAATTATAGATTATTATTTAAAAACTTAAATTACTGTTATTTATAGGAAAATGTTAAAATGAACCAAAATTTTATCAAATCAATATGTTTAAACCATCATTGTATCCCTCTCCTTTCGTTCTCTTCATTTGGATTCTCCTATTTCTAGCCTTATTTTCACTATTCTTTTTTTCAATCTCATTTTCAACTCTACTCTCTTTCCTCTTGTTTTCAATTCCATTCCTAGTACCATCCATGTTCTTCTTGTTCTCAACCTCATTCTTCTTATTTCCAATTCCTATTCTTATTTTCAACTCTCGTCATTGTTGATAAACAATCCCAGTTTACTAAAATGTCATAAGTGTAAAATTATGAGGTTGAGTTTATAGATGGCTACAATTTACATAAAACTAAAATGCTTGATAAGCATTTTAAATTCTTTACAAGATCATAAAATAGGAGCTAGGAGGCCAATGGAGTCAATTCACAAATCCAAGCTTAATATTTTCAATGAAAATTGGAATACGGATTGGAAACAAAGAGAATAAAGAGGAGAGTTGCAAACATGGATAGGAAAAATAGAAGGTACTATGATGGTTTAAACACATGGGTTGATTTAATAATAGCCTAAGTCATTTTAACATTTTCTTATTTATATTAGGATAAAAGTTGAAATGACATGTATAAAATTATTAATAAATATTTAATCTAATTTTATCAAAATCAATTAAAATTTAGAAGGTTTTAATAGATTATTACTTTTATTTTATTTTTTTGATAACTAATGCAAGTATGATTATAATGGATGATAAAGTAAACAACAAAAATATATGTCTTATAAAATACTTTAATACAATCATTAAATTTTTTAAAAAATTCTAAAATATGTTATTTAAAATAAAATTTATTATTATTTTTTAATTATTTCTTTATATTTTTGGTATTTTATATTTAATTTTATTTTTAAAAAGGTGAATGTTAAATAGATCCATCTTTTAACTAAATTGACCTACTATAATGGACATACACATGTAAGCTAGTAATTACCTGTATAAATAGGTAGAAGTAAATAGAAGTAGGTAAAAATAAGTTAATTCTATAATATCTTCTAAAAAAAGCTTTTTAGAAGCTTCAAAGATGTTGCTTTGATTTTATAGGTGTCTATTGTTGACTTTTAGGTTAGAAACTTGGTCAATAAGTTAACCATGTGCCACACATGTTGATAGCTTAAAGAACAAGCTAACTATGTAGCAAACATATAGAAAACTTGCCTTGAAAGTCAAGGCATATTAAAGAAAAGAAGTCTAAAAGCTACAAACACTTAGCATCAGCAAGGATTGTAGTCTAAGAGAAGTGTGGAAAAAGATGATTCTTACTTCTAATATTTTTTATTTATAGGTGGTGGTTTGCTCACCAACGAGGTAACTTCCATCTTTTTGATATTACATCCATTTCTACCTCATTCAATTAAATCCTTGGTGCTACCACAATAACTTACTTTAACTCTTTGCTACCATTTACTATTAGCAACACACTATGCTTAATCTCTATGTGGTTGTAACTAAGCAAGTACTTGCTGATCTTCAACACTCCCACTTTGCTAATATTCAAAAGGCTTTTAATCCTAATCTCTGAATCAAGTCATGATGTCTATCCTTTACTAATGCCTTTGTAAGCACATTAGCAAGCATATCATTTGTAGCACAATACTTCATACCTATTATTCCATCTTCAATCTTCTATCGTAAGAAATGATGTTGAACATCAATGTGCTTGGTCCTTGAGTGGTATTTTGAATTTTTGGCAAATACAAGACATCATTGATTGTCACACATGATGAGAGTTGCTTCTAATTGCACTAGACCAATGTCTTCTAAGAGTTGCCTTATCCAACACGCCTCCATTGTACAATGACTTGCTGCCATGTACTCTGCCTCCATCGTTGATCTTGCAATCGTAGGTTGTCTCTTAGAATTCCATGAAATGGCTCCCACTCCAATGAAGAAGACATATCTCATTGTGGATCTTCTATCATGTGCATCTCCATTCAAAAAATGCCATCTTCACATCCATTTGGTGTATTTAAAAATCCATTGCTGCCTCAATTGCTACAATGGTCTTAATAGTAGTGAATTTGGCAACGAGTGCACAAGTCTCATTGAAATCAATTCCAATAACTTGTGAGTATTCTTTCGCAATTAATCTTATCTTGTGCCTCACCACTGCACCCATTGCATCTCTTTTAATCCTAAACACCTACTTACAACTAATACTAGATCGATTTGCTAGAAGATGTGCCAATTACCATGTACCATTGTCTATAAGAGATTGATATTCTTCTTCTATAGTCTTCTCCCACTTGATTGCATCTTTACATTTCATAGCATCACACAAAGATAATGGATCAATAAGAAGAGCAACATTTGCATATTCTTTACTTACTTGAAGAAAGATGAGATCTTTCCATCATTTGCCACATTGCCTTCATTCTCTCAAAGGATATTTCCTTTCACTTGTAGAAGAACATTCACCTTCTTGTACTTCTTGTTCTTTTCCAACTCTTAAACCTTATCGTTTTTCACTCAATGGTTGATATTCTTCATCATTATTATCATCTCAATCTTCAACATCTTCATTTCTTTTATTACTTGTCCTAGCAATTGTAGGAGCCTTCATCTTTTCAACCTTCTTTGGCTTTTCATCTTCATCATCTTCATTATCTTCATCTTCTTGTTTCTTTGCTGAATTCAAAGATGTATCTACAAACACACCATTACTCTCACTTGGACACATCTCCAAGTGCTCACAAGCATTCTTGTGCTCCAAAAACTCAACATCATGACTTTTGATGATCTTTTTGGTTTCCAAGCACATTAGCCTATATGCCTTAGTACCTTCACAATAACTAAGAAATTCACACTTTATACCTTTTGCATCAAGTTTGGACCTCATACAATCTAGTATTTTTGCATATGCAACCAAAAGTCATCATGTGGAAAATATAAGGTTGTCTCCCACTCCAAGCTTCTTGTGGTGTCATTGATGCAAGAGCACTTCTTGGACACCTATTTCTTGTATACACTGCATTCACCACAGCTTCCGTCCAAAACTCATAGCTAAGGTTTTGACCATGAAGCATGCTCCTTGCCATCTCTACAATGGTTTGATTTACCCTTTCAGCAACACCATTTTGTTATGGAGTGTATGGAGTTGTGGTTTGTCTAGCAATTCTTTCATTCTTCAAATAAACATCAAATTGCTTAGACATGTACTCACCTCCATTGTCAGTATGTAGCACCTTGATCTTAAATTCAGTTTGTTTCTCAATAAGTGCTTTAAACTCCTTAAACCTCTAAAAGCATTCACTCTTGGCTTTAAGAATGTAGATCCAAATCTTTCTTGAATAATCATCAATAAAAGTAAGAAAATACCTTGATCCTCCAATATTTATGTTCTTCATATGTCCAGATACATCCGAATGGAAAATCTCCAGCAACTTGGTAGCACGTGTTGCTACACTCTTTGGAAATGAGGACCTTTGTTGTTTGCCTTGTATGCATCCTTTTCATGCAAGTTATTCTGTAATATGGCTTGTATTGCCAAGATCTGAGCCACTTACCATGGTCTTGAGCTCTGTCATGCTCTTCACATTCAAATGGCTAAGGCGACAATGCTATATATTCAACTTGTCTTCGTTTGAGGTAAACTCAAGAAATGTGGCTACCTCAACTCCATTCACCTTCTTATAAATGAATTAGTACAAATTTCCTTCTTTTAAGCCTTTGAAGACCTTGTCTCTACTCAATGTTCTTACAAAACATCCATTCATGTCAAATTGAACTTTAAAACCTTCAATTACAAGTTTACTCACCGAAAGTAGGTTTTGTTTCATCTTAGGTACATGAAAGACTTTTCTGAATT